CACTTTGGTTAAGAGCTAAAGTCCAAGTACATTATCCTGCTTTAATAGCATTCCCACAGTTCTCCCCTAACAGCTATGTACCTTAAAGTGATCACACGGGTGATTCTATCTCCCTATGGAAGCAGACATTCTTGCCATCTCCTGCCATGGCACCCATCCCCCATCACGCCTTCCCCCAATGCACTTATTTCCTCACCTGTGTGCTCAGGGACTTCACTGTGGTTACCACAGTGGTTACCACCCGCCTTGCGACGCATGTAACTACTGAACATGCATGTCTCACGGCTACCTACAAATATCCCAAGAGAGTAAAGACTCTCTGCGTGCAGTCCTGGCTGTTGAGATCACGGTGTTCCCGGACGTCAGCACGTTACTATAAAATGTGTCTGATTCCTTTATTTTACTCTCTCTCTTTATCTTCTATGATTTTATTCTAACCTTTTGCCTTGGCAGATTTCAATGTGTAGAAAGTACCCACGTTGCCCCCTAGCTCTTGTGAATTTAGTACATCAAAAGGGGTGTTTGTGTGATACAGAAAGGTTTTCCCCCAGCTTGTCTCCCCATACTATATGCCAAACCTAAGAACACATGGTCATTTGACAATACTCTTTGAGGTCAACTGCTTAAAAGTTATCTCCCTCAGGGTTATCAGCCATCTAGAGCCATAAGACTCTATAGTCTATCCCAACCTCAGCAGGACCCACTACTTGCTGATAAGGATAGTGGATTGCTCCCCTGGAGGAGAACCCAAAGACATGGTTAAGTCAAGTCCAGGAGGACCAAGGTTAGGCTTCCATCTTGAATCTAGGGTCCTCCCATCTTGTCACATGTGTGCCCCTATGGTCTGCCCTTCCTATTTCATGCACAACCCTAGCTCGTCCCCCTATTGCATGTATGCCTATGGCACAAGCCCTTCCTGGTTATGATGCAATTAGGAGGGCTTGCACGGCACTGAAAATGTATACAAGCCGTGACTGGAACTATATTCTTTCTGCGCAGACCTGCCACTGAGATCAAGGTCATCCCGGAGGTGAGCATGTTACCATAAAATGTGTCTGATTCCTTTATTGTACTCTCTCTCCTATCTCTCTTATCTTCCATGATCTTTATATGTTATACCCATGGACAAT